TGCCATAAAGCCTATCATATTAAAAATTTGAGTTAATTACAACGGTTCATAATAACGAATGCACGCACTACTTTGTGACGCTCATAAAGACACTACATGGTTTGGAAGTGTTTCTTAAGTGTTTTATATGCATAGAAAGGTAAAATATATACTATATACCAAGGACAAATATTTGACTGACACTAAATAAGAACTATATGTACCTGTTCCGACTTACTACAAAATGGACTTAAAGACTCAGGAACAGATCTCATTCGCAACCCAGGGACTGCCTGGGACTATACTGGCTATATAATTGGTTACTGTGCCAAAAAAAATTAATGAGTTGGGACTAGGTTCAAACTTTTCTTGCCAGAAATAATCATTTATTTCATTAAAATACATTCATGTCTCACTTAAGGCCACTGGTAGACATGCAATGAATGAAAATTACTTTGTTTTTTATAAAAGGATCCAGCTTTAGCAAGTAATATATTAATATCTATAATGAAGGAATAACTACTTATACACATAATTATTTTCATTCAAAAATATGCCAATTACTCTAGTCTTCACTCTTAAAAAAAAAGAATAAGCTATAGTCTAGTCTTCACTCTTAAAAAAAAAGAATAAGCTATAGGCTAAATGGAGCCCTGGTGGCATAATGGTTAAGAGCTCGGCTGCTAACCAAAAGGTCAGCAGTTCGAATCCACCAGTTGCTCCTTGGAAACCCTATGGGGCAGTTCCCCTCTGTCCTACAGGGTCCCTATGAGTTGGAATTGACTCAACGGCAACAGGTTTTATAGGTTAAATGGAGCCCTGGTGGCGCAGTGGTTAAGAGCTCAGCCACTAACCAAAAAGTCAGCAGTTAGAATCCACCAGCCTCTCCTTGGAAACTCTATGGGGCAGTTCTACTCTGTTCTATAGGGTCACTATGAGTTGGAATCGACTTGACGGCAACAGGTTTTGTTTCTTTTTTATTAAGACGTCCAAGTAGAGATGATTAGCAGGATGTGAAAAGAACACAAAAAATTCAGAAGAATGCAAACAGTTCAACATGATTAAGGGCAAGAGTAGGTATGAAAGGGAGTCAGGATAAATGACTAGACAGGTAGACAATGGTCACACCATTTTCTCTGCTAATGCAAGAACAAGCAGTATCATAGATACACAATGCTATACTATATTGGAGAGCTCTGAGCTGGAGACATAAATTTAAGAGTGTCAGCATGTAGATGTTATTTAAAGCTATGAGATCACCAAGGGAATAAGTCAAGAGAGTGAGGACAAGGGGGACAAGGTCTGAGCACTGAGGCACTCCAACATTAAAACATCCTGAGATAAGAAAAATCCATCAAAGGAAACTTATAAATTGTGGTCAGGGAAATAACTGAAAAACCAGAGAGCACAGTGTCTTGGGAGCCAAATGAACAAAGTATTTCAGCAAGAAGGAGTATCGATGCACTTTATCAAATGCAGCTGACAGACTGAGTAACATCAGGATTGACAACTGATTGTTGTATTTAACAAGGAGGTCACTGGTGACCTTCAATAGGCATGTTCTGATAGAGTGGTAGGAGCAAAAGCCTGACTGGAGAGCAAATGGGATAAGAACTGGAAACAGTGGCATGAACAACTCTTTTCAGAAGCTTTGGGGTGAAGAAGAGAGGAGAAATGAGGTTATAACCGGGGTAGGGAGTGGGATCAAGAATTTCTTTTTAAGATGGGAAAATACTAGCGTATTTATATGTTGATTAGAATGATCTATTGGGGGAGAAACTGCTGACATAG